CCCGCCTCCCGAGGACACTTCGGGGACCCGGCTCCGAGATGTGTGGATCCAGCCTCCGCCTGCCCTTGCCCCTGCTGTGGCCACCATGCCGCTGCCCCGCTCCCCACAGCTGCCTGGGACATGCAGCCCCGCACCCCGCTGTGATTCTTGCTGCCTCTCCACGTGGCGCATGACGCCTTTTTCATTCGCCCCTCGTGTCACTTCTGTGCACGCGCCCTTGCTGAGGATCTTCGGGCCACGAGGGCAGAGAGACCCTGTAGGTGTGTCGATGCTGTTTCACCCAAGTAGGAAACTAGACTCAGACATGCTCTAGGCCCTGCTCAGGCCATTTTCTCCTTCCGTCCTCCGCTCTCTTCCCTTTTCTCTCCCCACACATTGCCTGGGGTCCCAGGGGCCTCCGCACTGTTCTTATGCCATCAGGGCCTTCCCTAGAGGGGGCAAATCTTGGTGACTGCCCTGGGCGATGTGGAGCCGAGCTGGCTTTGCATCCGGCCCCACTCCCACCACTGCCGCCTCCAGGCCCTGCACCCACAGTTGTCTCTGCATGCCATCCATCTCCCTTTCATCCAACAGACCCTGCTCCTGAAAGCCCCTTGTCCTGTTCTCTCTGTTGTCCCCTGTCTCCTCCTCCAGCCCCTGGCCCTTTGCTGGTGACACAAAAGGGAGCAGTGGCTGTGGAGCTGGGAAAAATGCATAAACACAGATTCTGCATCATCCGCACCCAGTGCCAGGGCAGGGTGCAGGGGATGCAAAGGGAGCACCCGCCTCAGTGCAGAACCCGGGGGACAGGGAATTGACCCGTGCAGCACTGAGTTGGCACCTAGCTCTCAGCCGTGCTCCCTGCAGCTGGCATTCATCAGGGAAGGGGTTTTCAACCTTTTTTAGTCTAAGTACCCACGGTGGCCGGATGCCAAGTAGGGGGACAGGAGGGGGCAACGCACGGCCGAACACCAGAGGGTAGAGGGGGAGCGCGCAGCTGGACATGGAGCATGGAGGTGGGGACACTGTGTAGGCGGGCAGGGACAGAGTACCACCACCACCCCCCAGAAGCAGGGCCAGGGCAGGGCGGGGAAGCTCATCGGGCTGGGGTGAGGGCAGTGGTGCCCCTCTGCAGTGTGGGGAAGCTCACCAGGCTGGTGTGTAGCAGTGGCGGCCAACACATGCGAGCTTCCCCACCCCACAGAGGGACATCACTGTCCTCACTCCTGGGAGGCGGCGGTGCTCCGTCCCCAGCCACCCATGCATACCCCCTAGGACCGGTCTAAGTACCCCCAGGGGTACACATACCCCCAGTTGACAATCCCTGGGTTAGCGCACACAACTGAGGAAATGGGTGACCAGATCTGTTAGAAAATATGAAAAGCCATATAATTACCTGCAGTAAATAAAAGTAGACCAAGACAGGTGAGGAGGGTTTTGTAAAAGGATAATATATATTCTGGTGTGTTTCTCAGAGTTAACAAAAAGAGCTTGTAGAGAAGCAACACTTAATTGCAATATAATAATATTTTACACTTTTCCTTTCAATTCTATGGACACTCAGTTCAGTTCTGGACAGACAGTTCCACAATTGCATCTGTGTGTAAATGGGCCTATTTATTAATGATAATCATTCTCCAGTGTCATATTCCATGAATGTCATCTTCCCTTTGTCTTCCTTGATGACTATAGAGGAAAAATATCTAGAAGGAGACAGAAATATCTATCTTTTTTCAGAAGACAGCCCACTTCCCATGGCTTTGGCTAGGGCCTCCTTCACTTCCTTATTCCTTAGGCTGTATATGACAGGATTCAGCATGGGAGTGACCACAGCATAGAATAATGAAAACATCTTGTCTTGATTGGGTGACACACTGGCCCGGGGCCTCATATAGGCAAAGATGGCTGTCCCATAGCACAGCATCACAACAGTGATGTGGGAGATACAAGTGGAGAAGGTCTTGTACCTGCCCTCTGAGGAGCGAATACGCAGGATGGATGAAATGATGTAGATGTAGGACAGGATGATGAAGGAGCAGGGGATGATGAGGATCAGGACACTGGCCATCACGAGAATGATCTCATTAACATAGGTGTTAGAGCAGGCTATCTTGATGAGTGCCACAGCTTCACAGGCAAAGTGGTTGATGATATTGAAGCCACGGAAGGGCAGCCGCATGGTAAAGGTGGTTTGCACCAAGGAGTTGAGAAAGCCACTGGCCCATGAAGCCACTGCCAGCTGGATACAAACCCTCTTGCTCATGGTGACAGTGTAATGGAGGGGGTTGCAAATGGCCACATAGCGATCATATGCCATAACAGCCAGGAGGATAAACTCAATGCTCCCTAGTGACAGGGAGACATAGAGTTGGGCTGTGCAGCTGCTGAAAGAGATGGCTTTGTGCTGGGCCAGGAAGTGGACCAGCATCTGGGGGACCACACTGGATGTGTAGCAGATATCCAAGAAGGACAGGTTTCCAAGGAAGAAGTACATGGGAGTATCAAGACGTGGGTCTATCCGGATGGTAACAATGATAACAGTGTTTCCCACAAGAGTGATGACATACATACCTAAAAAGAGTGCAAAAAGCCAGAGCTGAGTGCCCCGATGGCTGGAGAGGCCCAGGATGATAAACTCAGTCACAGAAGTTTGGTTTTCTGACTCCATCTTATTGGTATGGTTTAACCTGTGAGTGCAGGGATATGGTCAGTGATGTCATGGTATTGAATAAAATGACATAAGCTACTGAACTAGGACCATGAGAACAGACCCAAACCCTGTCAATGTCAGACTCTCACCTTTGAGATGATACAAGGCCCTGTTTACTAAATGTGGGAGCAGACTTTTCTTTGTCCAGTAAAAAATGATGATTCAACAACATTGAAACAAGTTACAAATTCATGTTCGCTTCTCAGAATTAAAAAAATATTTACTATTGTATTTTTAAATTCAAAACATTGTTTTTATTTTCAAATTTCATTCAGCTTTACCTGAAAAAAAATCATAAAGAATGCACTTGAAACTAAAATATAGTTTTTCAGGGGATCAATGAAATATCTCACTTAATCTGTATATAATTTATTCCAATGTTATGATTCAGCAATATATAATATTTTAACATAATACATTTTTTTACTATTGTGTGGAATTGTATTCACATACCTCTATTATTTATTTAATCTCAAAAATGATATACAGAAGTCAATAAGACTCAGAAAATGATCATTGAGGGTGTCTACACGAGATGCTTAACTGTGCAGTAGCATAATTTACTGTGAAGTAAGCAAGCATGTGCATGTGTTTACTATGTAGTAAACCTCCCTAATTTGCTACCTGCAAATGCAAGTCACAAATTTACTCAAGATTAGTAACAGCATAGTAACATACATGTAGACACCTGACTGGGAGCAAATGTACTCCCAGCCAGCTGTCCACCAGGGGGTGGCAGATTGCTCCCTGACCCCAGATGCTGCCTACTGCTGGGGCAGGCTCTGCCATAGGAGCCTGGGTGGGGACTATGCTATGCCCTCCTTACCTGGCAGCAGGGAGCTCCAAGCCCCCCTGCTCCAAGATGGTGATCAGGAAGCAGGGGCCTAGAAGACCTTTATCTCCCAGTGCCAACTACGCAACCACGGGGCTGGTGTTGGGAGATCTCCAATGCAGAGCTGGTGCTGGGAGCTCCCTGCTGGTGGGGGCTGGGAAGGCTGTTTGCTGCCCAGCTCCATGCTCACGGAGCTAGGCATGGAACAAGCCCCCCAGCCTGGTCCCCAGCTCCACACTCACACAGCTGGGCAGTGAACAAACTCCCCAGCCTCTGCCCAGTGTGCAGAGCAGGAGCTAGGAACTGTCCTGGTCAGGGGCAGGTCCCAGCCCCATGCCCCAACTGGGTGCACAGGGCTTGGAATTTGTTGCAGGGATGGGTTAGGTCCCAGCCCCCTGCCCCCATCTTGGGGCAGCTAGTAGCAAGCTAGCTGCTAGCTGCCCCACTGGTGGATCAGGGCAGGGGGCTGGGACCTGCCCCTCCCCTGCAACTCTTTCCAAGTCCCCTGCCCCTGATCAGGGAGCCAGGGCCAGGAGCTCCCTGCTGGTGAGGCAGGGGGATATTGTTCCTACTCCAGAAGTCTGCAGCCCCCTCCAGGGGCAGGGTGTAATGGAGGGTGTAACATCCCAATCCAGGCCAAGGCTGGGTGCTCCCTCGCAGTCCTGGGTGCTCCCTCTCCTGGCTGGGTGCTCCCTCGCAGTCCTTGCACCAGCACCTAGGGAGAGCTGAGAGCTCCCCCGGTGACGGCAATGGCTCATTGCAGGGCTGCATCAAATTTGGTCCTAAAAGCAGCAAACCTGCTGCCTAGTCCTGCCCCAGAGCATTTCATGTGAAGACATTTACTCCTGACTAAACTGAGCCCAGATCAAATGCATGTGTAAATGTGCCCTGAGTGAAATTTAAGGTCATATGTTAGATATTATCAGGCATGTCTACATATGGTCATTTAATGCAGATTAGCCCAATTTAAGCTGCATTAGGGGTGCATGTCTACATGTGTGTGCCTTTAATGCTATGTGAGCCTAAATTTGATACCTGCCCAAACCAAGTATCAAATTTAAGCAGGATTAGTTAATGCAGATTAACACCTTTGCAGACATGTTACTCCACATTAATGCAGGGAATTTAGTCTTGGTCTGCACAGCCACTCAGGGGCGGGTCGGAGCCCAACCCCAGGGCTCCTGGCTGGAGGCACCTCCTCCCCCAGGGCTGGCTGCTCTCTATATAGTTTGCCACTTGTATGTGGTTTTGTTATTGTTGGTAGGTGGGGAGGGTGGTGGAGGGGCACAGCTTGTTGAGAGGGGAGGGGGGAGGGATGGGGGGCATGTTGTGAGGGTAATAAATTTTTTTGTTTCAACCATGTGCGTGTCCTGAGAGTGGTGCTGGGGATGGGCAAGGGGTAGGGGGTCGGGCAGGTGGGCTGGAGTGGAGGGTGCAGGAGGAGAGGGTCATCCAGGCCCTTCTGGTGCCCTGGCCCCTCCTGGCAGGTATGTGGCTCTCCTGGGGCCTGGGCAAGGGAGTGCCTGCTGGGGCCAGCACCATGGCCAGCAGGAGTGTGGGGCACTGGTCATAGCTGGCAGGGGCCGGGCTGGAGCAGCAGGGTACTGGGCATCATTGGCAGGGGCAGCCATGGTGCAGGGGGGCAGGTTGAGTAAGCAGGGAGTTGCTGCGTGCTACCCCTGTGCTGGGCACATGGCTCCTGGGTAGGGAAGGGGCTGACCAGGGATCAGATGGCAGGGGCGTGTTTCCAAGATGGATGCCAACTGGCTTTGGCTTCAACAGAGCTGCCAAGTGCTGGCAGCCAAGTGTTCAGAGGCTGCAGCTTCCCTGGATGTCCACAGGAGCACATGGCAGGACTGAAGTGACCTGGGACTAAAGTTAGTCCCAAATTCCACCACATGTAGACACCTGCCAAAACCCATTTAATCCATATTAGTTTAAGGCACGTTATTTTAAGCCTGCTTAAATTCATGTGTAGATGCACCCATCCAGACCTTTCTTAAGCCCTCCTCCTCTGGAAGCTGACCCATTTTACCTTACATTTAACATTAATTAGATAAAAGGGACAGAGTGCCTATAGGGAAATTTCTTCTGTAGTGTGAGCAGAGACTCGTGGCCTCTTTGCATCCAAAGGGAAGGAGGTGGGGAGGAAAGGAGGAAAATCCAACTCATTGAGCCAGACACCTAACCCCCTGGCTTACTCTTGGCCAAACATCTCTCTCTTTCCTGGCTCCCTTGGGGGCCAGCTACAAGAAGAGGCTGGAGAAGGATGAACTAGAATCTGAAACTGTGTAAAAGACAAAAACTGAATTTAGGTGGTTGTGTACGTGCCATTTTGAAGCACAAACTGAAATAGGATTTAGTTCGCTGTGTGTTTACATTACTATATACATTGCCAGGTACTCACTACCTCTGACACCAGAAGCAGTACAGCTACCTTTTTGCTGTGTTAGCAAACACTAATGTCCTTTGCCTCTCAAAAAAACTAATTAGCTGGGCAGTGCCATGACTACCCTGCTTCTGTAATGCACATAGAACAGCTCGGTGGGATAAGTAAGCAATTTAAACATGTCCTCTGATCCATAATTAAAGGGTCATTCATTTGATTTTCCTTACTTCATTTAAGCATATTAAAGTAAATCAAATGAAGATCCATTTAATACTGAAAAGGGTTTACACACCATTTCAATGCAGTTTAATTAATCCACTTCTGATTCAGACCTTTGTTGAAATTTTGGGTTAGTTTCGTGAGAGTCCCTGTGAACATAAGAACATAAGACTCAACTGATTCTTGAAAATCAGGAGGTCACATTGTTTCAACATAGACACTTATCCTAGGGTGTACTAGAAAAAGACGGGCATGTCTACACATTGCCCTATGGCAACATTATTACTACACCATGCTTTAGTACTTCCTTTTGGAAGTACTAAAACATGGCACAGTAACTGCCTGTACTGCACCATATGTGTAACACAGGGTTATTTTTAGCAGCTACTTTGCCGTAAAGGTACACTATAATGGGGGAGTGTGCCATTATGGTAAAGTAGCTTCTGGTCACATGTAGACATGCATGGATGCTACATTGCTGTAGTGTGTTCCTATGGTGACATAGCACCATATGTAGATGTGCCAGACCAGATTCTGATTGGCTTTTCATTGCAAAAGAAATGGACTAGCTAACTTATTGAGTTCAGCCTGAGTTTTCCCTGTTCCCTGGGAATAGGATTCAGTCCTCAGTCCTTTATAACCTGAGGGTAACTCTGGATTTACTTGAGACAAATGAGATCAGAATTAGGCCTTGTCGTTGTTAAAGTTAGTGATTCCAGATTTAGCCTGGTGTCAGTGGCCACATCTACATGAGATGCTACACACAGTCATTACTGCGCATTTATTTAAGACTTGTATAAACAATCACTTATATTTAGTACTTGTATAAACAAGTACCAAAAAAATGCACAGTTATTCAAGTTACTGTACAGCAGCACCAGTGAACACTTTTTTGTGACACTACTGCACAGTAGTGTTGCGTCTCAGTTTTTGCTGTGCAAAGCTACTGTGCAATAGTATCAGGCTACTGCACAGTCATCATCTCATGTAGAGAGACCCCCTGGGAATGAATTTCAAAGATTTGAGAACATTTTTAAAGATTCCCATTATCTTCAACACGGTTTGATCCAGCCTCAAAAAACAAAGCATTTGACTTAAAAATGGCCATTATTTTTCTGTTATTAATGTTGTATTTTGTGCCATATTGAGATATGCAAAGATTTAGGATTTCCCAAAACATTTCCTTCAAACAAGGGATGGAGGAATCACATTAAATTAATTGCAAAACTCAGTGTTTTTGAAAACCCTCTCCATAGTCACTGTCTCAATGAACTTACAGTGATGAATGTGAATGATAACTTCTAAAGAAAATCATCTTGTGGCACTGCAAATTTCAGCCAGAATGATTTATATTTTAAAGTTTATATAAGTTAAAAGCAAATGTATAAACGACTGAAAAGAAGATGCTATAATGAAAACTTTTGGGCAACCTGAATGAGACACCCTTCACCTGCACCCCTTCTTTTTATTTCTAAAATTCATAATAATAACAACAGGCTATATTGACGTAAGATTAATGATAATTAAAAAACAACAACAACAATCCTTCCATCTTCTTACACTTTGAAATTGAGGTTTTTGAAAGGAAAATGGAGGACCTAGGCTAAAACTCTAAGGGTGTGTTAACCGGCATCTCTTTTTATGTATTTATAGAGCTACACAAATGAAAACAACTAAAAACTAGCTTTGCAAGCAGACTGAGGTGGGAAATGTATTAGTGAAATGCCAAAAATGATTCCAGGTTGAATCAGAATAAAACCAAGCCTTTTCAGCTTCCTATGGAAGTAGGGGATGAAACCAATATTTTTGTGATTTCAGTGGGACTGAGGCATCCAAACACCTTTGAGTAGCTCAGTCTCTACCCTTCAGTTCCACATCTGTAAAATGATATTATAAAAACACCCAAAAATACAGGAGTGTATTCAAAATAGAACATTAAAGGCTAAGGTGCTGAGATACTAAACTTAATAGGACAGTAGAAGTACCTAAGATCAAGCAAAGCCTATTGACCTCAAAGTTTAAGGACATCAAAAGAGAATGTAAATCTTAGACATCAACACTAATACAGGATTTCATCTCCTCACCAGATAAACCAATCAGTGAACGAAAGGGCAAAGTTAAACAAATTATTTTAAAATACTTTCAAAATTGCTCATTAAGCCTCTGTTTTTAGAGAATTCAAAATGACTGATTAGTCTGAGTTTTATCCTGTCATAAACAGGTGTCAGAAAAAATACTACTTTTATTCCTGAGGATTTTTTAAATGAAAAATACACCTATCAATTTTCAGTGGAAATATTGATTTTTAATTAAACATTGATTTAACAATACAGCAAATATTTTCAAGAAAAGTAGGTATTTTTTAATGAGAATGTTCATTAAATCACCATGCACATGATATAGTTTTAATTATTATGTTGACATATTTAATGTCTGGTCATGAGAGAGACAGGTATCTCAGCTTCTTTAGATTGTCAGAGAAAAAGTTAAGGGTTGACTTAATCATAGTCAATACATTCCTACACAGGGCACAGAAATTTAATAAAGAAAATTCTTCAGCCTACTAGCAGTAAGTATATCCAGTGTTTGAAAGAGGTTAATGATGGTAGAATAACTATATTGGTTAAAATTCACACCTAAATTTATACCCAAAAAGTTCCTTCATACTGAAAAGGTTTTAGAAGGGGGTGGGAGAGAAGCTTTGTCAGGAAATTTATGACCAACCCTCATAGCAGGAAAGTCTGGGTCAAGAAATAACCTGTAGAAATTAATTAAATTGAATATGATACCTACAGAAAAGAGCTACCCCTTTATTCTGGCAAAAATGCTACTAAGGCAACTATAAAACAATTCCAGATGGCATTGCTTTCCCCAAATGGGTAAGATGCAGAAAGGCAATACAAATAAATACCCAGCAAGGGTAAATAAAAGACCAGGATTAAAATGGCATTTCAAGCCAAAATTGTGTCCTTCAGAAAAGTAATAATTCCAACTAGCATAAAGACAGTTCTTAGACAGACAGCCAGATAGATAGAGGAGAACAGATACTTCATGTATGATGGCAAACAGTAGATGGATATAACTAGCGAGGTGTGTAAGGAGAATGTTACATAGGAGGCTGGGGAATATATGGGGTGGAGAGAGCATGAAGTGCACCTGGAGAAATTTTCTCTTTTTTTTTTAATTTGTGAGGAATACATTTTAAAGGAAATTGTGAAAAATCTGTGAACAACAACGGCAAAGGAATCAGGGCTATGAATTCTGTTGCATGACACTGAACTCTTTGACTTACCCCAGTTCCTGCTGGGAGCAATACCATCCTGATAGCAGCATATCATTTTGGACCTTTCAACAATGTATGCAGGGACAGCAAAGGCAGCTCCCTAGGTTAGTTTCCAGTCTGCTCTGTATTCCAGGTCCTGTGACTAAGTTACTGAAGAGCAAAAGTGTGGATATCAATAAAGGATACAACAAGTGCAATGGAGAGCACTACTCTACAACCCTTTAGACAACTGTTCCCAACCTGCCTTATGCTATTTCCTGAAGTTACTCTCATCACCCTAGCTCTAATGTACCGGTACTACAGGAGATGGAGGTATGATCTCAGCTCAAAAATATTTCTCTTGCAGAGACCTAGGAGTATATTGCTAGCTTCAACAACTTTTTTACTGTAAATATCCTGGGAAAGTTCCCAGCTTCACTGCATTTCCCATGAAAATGGCAAGGATCACAGCCTTAATTCCAGTGAGTTTCCTCCACAAATGGTAGCTTAGACCCGCCATGTTTCCACTTGCCTGAGATGCATGTTCAGAAGATTCACGTACCCAGTGTCTAGTGAAGCAAGTCACAAAACTAACAGCTCCTTTCAACACCCCCCTCCCTCATTCTTCTGGGGATTTAAGTCTATCTGTTGGGGATTTAAGTCCATCTGTTGATCACAATTGGGGTACTAATTGGGAAGAGGCACCTCTAGGGATTCAACCCCATGCAAACAGCCTGCAGCGCACATGCCAGCTAGCCAGGGCACAGAGAGTGGGGTCTAGGGAGGGTGGCATGGGGACAAGATAGGGGGTCAAATTGGGTACTTATGACCTGGGACTTCCTTCATGGGGCAGGGGCATTAGATCTCCCAAAAGCACCTTTCCTCACTGGTCCCAGTTCCCAGCCCCCAGCCACCCTGGAAACCACAACCAGCACCACCCACATCCCAATCCCAATTTATTAAAACATAAGACCTTCTTTAATTTACCTTATTTCTTTTAAAATTCTTTATTTTTTACCTCTTTTTATTTTATACTTCAATGACTGACTTCCTTCATTTCACCACCCATCCCCGTTTCATTTCCACCTACCATTACCTCTCTGCCTCCTAGCTTCATGTTCCTCACCACCCCCTAGAGAAGCCTGTCCTGGTTTACCAGCCCTCCAGTGGCGAATCACAGCTGTGCAGGTGGAGAACAACTAGGGAAGGTTTTTAGCCTTAATCTGCAACTGCTCCAAACTCAAGCTACCCCTAACACCGATCTACATTTAAGCAGCTCAAAATGCAATGGGTAAAAGACCCTTACACATAGCAGATAGGGGGAGTTGCTCTATTCTCTATTTTAACCCTGGATTCAACTATTTTTAGTAAACCACTCTCTCTCCACAACTTTGGCTTGAGTCCTGTTCCCCTTCCTGTTGCATCTGCATTATATGACAGGACAAAGCATGGAGGTAACTAGAGTATAGAAGAGTGGGAACATTTTATCATGGTCGGGGCTTGAACTTTATGTAGACAAGAATGGCTAGTAGAGAGGGATTTGTGCCCAGAATTTACCACATTCTAGGGAATTTGGTTTTGGTCCAAATTAGGCCAAAGCTAATATTTTCTGATATTTCCAGCAAAACCAGAAGCTTCCTGAACCCCTCCAGCTGTTCAGTGAACTCAACGTTCTCATGGAGAGTGCCAGTTTTACTGAGAAGATGCAAGGTGCTCCCAGGATCTCCTGTCCTAGAGCATTTCAGCAAATGCCCTAAGGTTGCAGATCCACATCTTTGCCTGGCCAGTCTTGGAACAAACCCATTAGAAATCCAAGAAATTTTTTCTCAGAACCCTACCTTGGGTTCTGGAAAAAAATTCAAATCAGGTGCATTTATAACAAAGTTGAGGACACAGAGCAGTTTTATGCCTTTATACTGGTATAAATATGAGGCTGACACAAAGTAGAGCCTTGCACTAATGTAAATGCTTTCCAAAAGTTTTGTAATTTTGAGTTTTTGGTGGATATTTTTAATGAAGAAAAAAAATAAATTACAAACTAGCCTGAACCCCAAGAGTAACAACAAGCAAGGGGTAGGTTGGGAACCCTCCCAGTCCCCAAGCACCTCAGAACAGCACAAACATCTTGGAAGATCTTCGGAAAAAAATATTGGGGATTTTTGAACCTCCACTGAAGTCAGAACCCTTTGGGATAGTTCCAGCTTGGTTTTCTTTAATAGAAACTTGGGCTGTTTTTTTGTTTTGTCTTGCTTTGTTTTTTCTTCCACAGAGAGAGTATGGAGCAAATCTTGGAAGATAAATACCTTGCTTCCATTAAAATCGTTATTCTTCTATGATTTCAAGGGGAGTTAGGTGCCTATCTTGTGAGGATCTAAGCTTTAGTGACTTATCCAAAGCCTGTGCCAGAGAATGAACCCAAACCTGAATCTCTCAAGCACTGCAAACACTGGCTCAGGCTTCCTCACAAATAACTGTTTTAGGAGCAAGGACAGTTCAGACAGTCCCATCCACCTTGCCCAATTTGTCATGGCAAGGAAGGATGGTTCAGTGTTGAGGCATCTCAGTGCCTTAGTGCACCTAGTCCTTATGTGCCTAAGCACAGGTGACTGGTGCCTCCTGAATCTGGGGGGGGACCCACAGAAGCCACCGACCCTGTCAGGGGGGGGCACAAGTCCTACCAACAGCATCAGTGTCAGCCGTCGGGGGGGCATTGGCCCCGTCGGGGGGACACGTGCACCCCTGTGCACCCCTTACAAGTTGCCTATGTGCCTGAGCCTCATGGGGAGTGCCTATATGAGACACTTTACACGCATTGGTCTAATACTATTGCGCATTAGCGTAGCTGGCAAAAATGGTGCTAATGCACTAATGTGCAATAACTTTAGTCCAATGCACGTTAAGCATCACACAACAGGTATTCATTTGCACTAATGCGCTGATTATTACAGGTACTAAATTTAATGTGCTGTAATTATAGCACATTAATGAAAGACATAGGTTCCTAAAAGCTGAATTTTAAAGGCCTAAATATAGGTATCTGAAGTTACAGATATCCACCTAGTGGGTGTATCTACAAAAGATGCTTTACAGCACAGTAGACTAATCTATTGTGCAGTAAAGTGTCACCAAGTAACCGTGTTCATAAACTACTGCGCAGTAAATTAGTCTACTGCACAGTTAGCTAGTACTGTGAATACAGGTACTAAACTAACGCCAAGGTAGATACTGCACAGTAGGGCTCATGTAGACGCTGACCAGGAGCAAATTTGTCTAGGCTAGTAGTGTCAGGTGACCAAAGCCAGTCCTGGGATCAGTTTTACCTTTGCCACCATTCAGAGACATTAAGGGCTCCTGTAGTTCAAATGGCAACAATCTGACACTTGAAACTTGGTGTTCTGCTTTTGCTCATTGGTTTCTCTTAGAATAGAGGCTCACAGGAGGGAGAATAGAACAGGGCTTCACAGCAATCCAGCACTATGCAGACTCTTTCTAAACAGGGGCAATTTTACTCACTACCCCCAGCCCTGCAGGAACCAGGGATGTTTCGGACATTTGCCTGGGTGCTGAAAACTTTAAAGGTTATGTTTGGAGTTGTAGGCATGCCCATGAAATGTCCCAGAACACCTGCTGCCCAGGGCTCAGGATGCTCCTGATTAGTGTTCAGGGGTCCCCTCCTGCAAATACTCCAGGAACATCAAGGACAAGCATGCTTCCCAGGAAACGGGGGAACTCTGGTTTCCTGTGCAGGCAGCCATGTCTTAGTTGTTGCCAGGGAGCCTGCAAGCCTCTCTGATAGCTTACTACAGGGCAAGCTGCCAGGGAGCCAACTACTCTTCCTCTTTCCCCTTACAGGGAAGGAGGAAGAACAGAGCACTGTGGGATTGGAGGTGTTGGGGGGCGCAGTCTTTGTTAGTGGCCAGACTTTAAAGTTGTCCTGGCACAACACAAAATGTTGGTGTTTAGAAAACATCTTCTTTGTCACAGATCTATCATTTGTATAGCATATAAGCCATTTTTATCTTGAGACAAATTCATTTAATGTTTAGCACATTGTCATTTGTCATGGGAAATTCACATATATTACCCCACAAATATAATGTCTAAATGGGACCCTAATGTGATCCAGACATAATGCCTGACCCCATGAATGCCATCAGACCTCTAGGCACTTTATACGAGCTAGATTTCTGGGCCACAACAGTAAAAGAAAATAATGCACCAGAAATCTTCAGTAAGAAGTTCCTGGAGATTATGTAGACAGTGTCCTTCACAGAGTGAGTGTCCATGATTTTGACTAGCTATCACTGGGAACATCTACATGTACCATTAACACTCAGCAATAAACATCTGAACTAATGGCTCCCACAGTCCTGGGAAGCTCCTGGGCACAGCACTTTGAGCCAGGTTGCAGCAGAGGGCTGGCTGGAGCACAAGGGTTCTTCAGTGCAAGGCTAGCTGGCCTAGGAAGACCTGAGAATGAGGTCGCTTGGCTCTTAATCCTCTGCTCCAAACAATGATTATTCATTTTATTCAATGACTTTGAATGCAAAGATCATAAGCAGTTGTAGAAACAAGGAGCAGACATCTACTCTCCCTGCCAAGGCTGTACCACCACTCCTGGGAAGCACTGTCACTCTCCAACTTGCTTTTCCTTTCACTAGATCCATGAATCTACATTCCTCCTTGCCTATTACCTGTATTATAGGTGTGCTGGAAGGCTGGCTACTGATAAAGATGCAAGAAACAGGTTGACAGCTTGACCCTTTACTACACATGCAAACCATGAGCACACGCACATCATCATGTCCACCTGGTTACCCAAAGCAGCAGAATATAGATTCTCACTTTTACCACCTAGGGCAGGGGCGGTCAAAATGTGGCCCATGGGCCAGATATGACCCACCAGGCTATTCCATCTGGCCTGTGGGGCCCCTGAAAAATTGCCATCACTCAAAGAAGATTTGTGACTTTTTGATTTAGTCATACTTCTTAGGACATGGTGAACCCTTTCCCCAAAATGGGTATGGCTAGTAACTTGCCTAGCTTCAACAGGAATAGTGGATAGCATCCCCATTCCGGTTTTACCAATAATCTGCTGGTTGATTTGGGAGGTGTGAGATGT